AAAAGTACATTATCCAAGGCAATTAAGATGAAGAATCTTCTCATGCATGTTTTCGATGTAAATCCTCAGACTCAAGATAGAGCACTTTTCACTTGAGTATCGTAAAAGCGTGAAAAAAAACCTGTAAAAGGAAAGACTAAAAATATCCAAAATAATTCAGAGTAAAATTAGGCTTGGGGCTCCCCAAAGAACAAAAACCCACTCAGCGTTGTCTTCAAGCAACAAAGCTAGATAAATACAATAAAGAAGAAAATAATTAAATAAACATACGCTCCATTATTTTCTGAAATTTTCCGTGGCAGCAGAACGAGCTGAACTGGAGCTCTTCCCTACCATTATTTATCTCCTGAATTCACACATCAAAATCTAGAGCGCGCTAAAATAATTAACAGAGACTAGGACTGAAAAAAAAATAAATCCAGGAGCACTAGAAAACATCTACAGAGAAAGACTAACAAGAGCAAAACAGGAGGCCAAACGACTAAAAAGGAAGAAAAATATAGTAATTGATGAAAAGATATCGTGTCTAGTTTATCGTGTTGTAAGTTTTCTATTGCCTATCGTATCTGATTCCTACTGAGCCATCATTCGTCGTCATTTGACACACTGGCTTGTTTTTCAAACATAAATTTTCCCATTTTAATTCATTTTCTCTTTTCTTTTTACATCAGTCGATAATGACTGCAGCTGTTCATCAGGACCAGAATGAAAACAGAGATGCAAAATTGGTCAGTTAGTAGTCCACCTTCGAGTTAATATAGCTTGAAACAGTTTTCCGCGACATTAATCATTAAGAATGATTTTGTTTTACCTCGAAGGTCGTGTTTGTAGCACAATAAACCCACGAGAGTCGTTTCTGTCCCCTGCCGATCTTTGCGACTCCACCGCCGGGTAGCCGATTCGCACTCAGGATTCGATTCATATTCTCCACAGGAGCTGCCAGCGATATAAAGCATGATTTCATGTATTGTATTTTGTTGTAGTCTTATCTCCTTCGATACGTGCTTAGTATGAATTAAGTAACAGAAGTTTTTTAGAACTGTCTAAAATCTCTGCAATTATTTTCTCTGTTATAGAGTACCTTATGAAGTTTCCGGAGCTGTGTTCTACAGAAAATTACCCCGTGAAGAATCCATCCATAGATTCAGATCTCAGCCAGCTATCGCTTTGTTTTTCATCAAACTTGTTCCAGACCAATTAATGCAAATGATCTTCAGCTCTGCCACTGAACAAGACTCCCGTGCTATGGCTGTCGAAATTCATCCAGCAAAAACATATCATTGCTGGCAACGAACTTTTTTTAATAATGCGGTATTGATTTTTGAAAACTGGGTCGACGAAGAAAGAAACTTAAACATGCAAACTAACAAAAAGTGTTGGCTTCTTTCTGTTTTCTTAGCATTAATAAAATTCAAAATGTGTTAAGCTATTGCTTAAACAAATCTAGACGTATGCATTTTTCTAACGCTTTGCAGATAACGTTTGGATCCTTTTTGGGGAAATATGAATCGGATCAATATGCTAACTAGGGCACAAAAGTTTGTCAATTGTCGAAGGTTCGCATTTTACGGTTCTGGCTCTAAAAGGACCAGATTTTTTAACCTACCTGGCTTTTGAAATAGTAGCTCACTCAAAGATAGATACTACTTTGATAAAACAATAATAATAATAATAATGGGAACAATGAGAATTGGATAGTTGACATTCCATGAGGTGGCTCTCCTTGTTCACTGCTTCCAAGTCGAATTGGAATGTAGAAATTTTGGTTTTATGTGGAGGGAGAAAAGCCCTCGTAGCAAAACTCTTCATGGCCGATTGGCAAGTGTCAACATATGGGATAAGGTTCTTTCCGAAAGCGACATTGCCGCTCAGTACACAAACTGCAGCGTACCTCATGGTTCTGTTCTTAACTGGTCTGCATTCAAAAATCTTATTCATGGCAGTGTCACAGTTGAAGAGCCCTGAACTATATTGGTCAATGATCAAAACTTCTGCAGAGCCTAAAATCAAAGCTCACGTGATATAAATTCTTAATATTAGTGAATGTACCATATGCATGGAATAGTTCTAAAATAGATACCAAAATACGAAATGATATTTCGTTCAAACGCTACTTTTGACCAGTTATTTGAAAGAATTTCATTTATTTATTCACCTATTTACTAAGTAAAATGCTTGCAGTAGTCTAGAAAATTCTAGAGCAAAATTTACAGAATCTGAAAATTCTGCTTTTGACACCTTAGTTTAAGAACCAGGGAATGTGCTATAAATGGAGGGGGGAGGGGGGAAGGGCTATGACATGATTTGATGTATTAAACTGTCAGAGCGAAAGTTTAACTGTTGGCTGGCCCATATTTTTAATGTTAGCTGTATGAAGACCCCCCTCCCCCTCTCTTCTCCCTCATATAGGACCCTGCATTAAATCTCTTCTGTATTGTATTACCTGAAAACTGCATTTATCTAAACCAATCAGAATAAAGAATTTTTTCATGAATGTTTTCATTGCAAATCCTTAGGCTCAAGATAGAGCTTATTTCGATTGAGCATCGTAAAAGTGTGAAAACAAACCTGTAAAAGGAAAGTTAAAAAAGCGCTAAAAAAAATCAGGGTAACATCAGCTCTGTCTTCAAGCCATAAAGCTAGATAAGCTAGACGCTCCATTATTTCCTGAAACCTTTCGTGACAGCAGAATTGAAACGAGCTGATTTCAAGAACTGGAGTTCCTCTGTACCATCATTTATCTCCTGAATTTACAAATCAAAAAGTAGAGCGCTCTAAAACCATAGCAACTAGAAAAAAAAAGATAACGAAAACTTAGGGGCGCTAGAAAACATTTACAGAGGAAGACAAACAGGAGTTAAACAGGAGGCCAAACGCCCAATAAAGGAAAACAAAATATCAATTGATGAAAAAATATCGTGTCATTAACTGTTCGAGCAGATGTTTGCAAATCCTGTGGAAAAGCTTTATGTTGCGTGTCTGTGGCATCGCGAGATCGTGTATCACAATGAAAATCACTACTCTTTGAGCTTCAAGAATAAGATAGCTTTTTTTCTATTTATCTGCCAATTTTCTTGTTTGTTTGTATCGGCGGTTTGTGTCCAGACTTCAGAGGTTATCATCTTTCTTCCGTTTGCGGGAAAGACCAAAAAATGCTAAAAGAATTCAGAGTAAAATCAGTGAAAGGGCTTCCCAAATAACAATAGCCCACCGAGCGCTGTCTTCAAACAATAAAGCTAGATAAGTTCGATAAAGAAGCCTTAATAAACAAACGCTTTATTATTTCCTGAAACTTTCCGTGACAGCAGAATTAAAACGAGCTGAACTAGAGCTCTACTGTTCCATTATTTTCTCCCGAATTTACAAATAAAAAACTAGAGCGCTAAAATAGCATCAACTAGAAAGAAAAAAATAAAGAACTCAAGGACGCTTGAAAAAATTTTCAGAGGAAGACAAACAGGAGCAGTACAGGAGGTCAAACGTCTGAAAAAAAAATTTACAGAGAAAGAAAACATTTTTGAAAACATTTACAGAGAAAGACAAACGGGAGCAAATTAGGAGGCCAAGCCCCCAAAAAAGGAGAACAAAATAATAATTGATGCGAAGATAAATTGTCATTAACAGAAGCAGATGTTTGCAAAGCCCATGCAAAAGTTTTATGTTGCGTGTCTGTGGCATAACGAAATCGTGTATACCATGAAAGTCATTTCTCTTTGAGCTACGAGAATAAGATGGCTTTTTTCTTTTTATCTGCCAATCTTCTTGCTCTGGTTGTATCGGCGAGTTCTGTGAAGACTTCAAAAGGTGTTGTCTTTCTTCCTTTTTGCTTTATTTTCCCGATATCTGCATCGTCTTTTTGAGAAAGTCGAAACCATTTTAAATGGTAATTTTCATTTCTTTATAAAAACACAGGACAAACGCCAAAAGTTGGGTTTGTCTTCACCAATTTCCTTGCTCACAAAGGCTACTATTTGAACGTTACAACTGTTAGTACAGAACTAGTCCAAGACTCCTTTGAGTGCACGTTCAAGTGTCTGGAGAAGGATCCAAGTATAAGTCGAAACCATTTTAATTCGTCATATTCATTTCTTTATCAAAACACAGGACAAACGCCAAATGTTAAGTTTGTCTTCGCCAACTTCCGTGCTCACAAAGGCTACTATTTGAACGTTACAACTGTTGGTACAGAACTGGTCCAACGCTCCTCTGAGTGCGCGCTCAAGTGTCTGGAGAGCGATCCTTGTTTGTCCTTCAACCTTGCAGATTTGAATGATAACATTGACAATCTGCTTTGTGAACTGCTTCCATCTGACCGTTACACCCGTTCAGACAAGTTCAACGTCAACCATCTTGGGTATCACTACAGTATTGCGGTAAAATTATTTTCCTTTTTCTACTTTATCTTATCATCACGTGTTTTGTTATTATTATTATTTCATCCTAATTATAACTAAAATCGGTTGCAATCGTTTGAGCAAACTTTATTCAAGTGTTCAACGTTAACATATCTCTCGTTGGAAGCCATTTTTAAGTCGTTTCATTGATCCGTCATCGAAGTTTGTTTAACTGGTATTTATTAAGGGAACAAGTAATTGATTTTCTCGGTTTTAGTCTCCTTGTTCGAGGTTGCCCTGTCAGAACGATGGAACTTGTGTACCTCTGTACCGGACAAACAGCTACAAGTGTCGCTGTGCGAAAGCATACAAGGGAAGCTACTGCGAAAACGGTAAGGTTTTGGTTTCTAGAACAATATTTTCAAAAATATTTCGCGCGCGTGCTTTTAGTATCTGATTCCTTCTGAGCCATCATTCATCGTCTTTTTACTTCACACTGACTTGTTTTGAGAAACATAAATTTTATGCCATTATTATTCATTTTCTCTGTTCTTTCTGTATCAGTTGATAATGACTGCAGCTGTTCATCAGGACCAGAAGGAAAACAGAGATGCAAAATAGGTCAGTTAATATTCCACCTTCAAGTTAAGGTAGCTTGAAACAGCTTTCCGAGACACCTGTACCGAATATATATAAAAAACCCTAAAAAAGCGACTTTCCCTTTACGAAGCCAAACGAAATTTACTCGTGTTCACAAAATGATTAAAGTCTGAAGTAATGGGCGTTTCGAGGCAACCACAATAGATGTACTTATATATAGGAAAATCCCGTTACATAGTTTTTTAGATCGATCTCGTAATACGAAGCCAATATCCAGCCATCTTGACCGAACAAGCTTTTTTAATAGAGGATCTATCTTGTAGCGAACGATTTCTCTTTATTTTGAAAGAATCAAGAATGAATTTTTGACTTCCAGAGCCGAGAAAGAAAGCCAGCTGTCTTTGTAGCACAATAAACCCACGTCAGTCGTTTATGTTTTCTTTGTTTCGTTTGTAGTGGTCCTCCGCCGATTTTTGCGACTCCACCGGCATTGTCTAAAAATTGCAAACTCTGTTAGTCCGCTCGGTTAGCTAATGCGAACGATGGATTCGCTTCTCCACGGGTGCTGCCAGCGATATAACGCATGATTTCATGTGTTGTATTTTACTGTAGTTTTATCTCCTTTGTAACACGCTTAAAGCGCATTAGGTAAGAAAAGTTTGTTGTTATCCTATTATGGCGAGATAGAAATTATCTCGGCAGTGAAAATTCAATTTGACGGCATGTTTTGAAGATTTTTTACAATGACTAAGAACACGATGAAAATTCGTCAGATGAAACGTTATTGCGACAAATTCAATAAACTTGATTAAGAGCTCAGTATCTGAATAACTTTGCGTAGAAGCTGAAAAATTAAGAGTTATTTTGAAAGGGCTTAATTTAATTTGTTAATATTTTCTCAAATGCGAGGATATAGCCCAAAAAGTATTTTCTCTGAGGTTGAGAAAAATTTCCTCTCAAAGATTCTATTCCAAAAACCTCTTTAACGGTATTTCCCCATAACATACGCATATCAGTAGTGATTGACACGACACCCGCTACTTCAAACTTTAAATATTGGTGAACAAAAGTGCGAAATTCGTTCGACTGCGAAAAGGGAAATTTATTTTTGAGCGCTCTGAATGCAGTTGGTAGGTGTCTAGAAAAACCGAAGACCTTTTCGGACGAAATTGAATTTACCTATGCTGATAGAGCTAGCACAGCAGTCATAAGTTGTGCATGCGCAAGGGGATCAGTTTTTGCCGTGCACGTGCCAATTTCTCACGCAAAGGCCAAAAAGAATACATAACAAACAACCCCTCACACGCAAAATATGAAGACAACCTCAGTGAAACTGTCATAGAAATCTGTAAAAAGATGCAAAAATAGGGGGAAAAAATCTGGATCAATATCAGTATCTGGGCAACTGCCCACCTACCCCTCCCCAAACTCAACAACAGTCAATTGACAACAAGTTAAGGTTTATGTTGGCTTAGGAGAGGGGTAGGTGGGCAGTTGCCCAGGTACTGATATTGATCATCATCAATGAAGCTGGTGGACGGACACTCGAAAACATTTACGGCGGTGTCAGGTTGAAGGCAAAACTCAGAAAAAGCAGCCACTCATACAAACGTGTCATCTTTTAGAAAAAGTTCGGATATAACGCGCGCTGGTCATTGGTAGAAAGAGCGTGCTCTATCAGAGTACAAAACACGGAGCTGAGCTAAAGCTCTCACGCCAATTTCTTCTATGCCCGACCATTTTCCGGACTTCTCTCTGGCCTTTTTTTTTCGTTAATCGAAAGTGAATTTTCGGAACAAGCGTGCCGATAAGTAGCAACAGAAGAGTAAAAAAAAAGTCTCTACAAACATGCCAAGCGCTGTAATTGACGTTTATATAACGTGAAAATCCTCAAAGAGGAAACGAAGTGAACTGTCCGACTTTTGAAGGTTTTCATGTAAGCTTACGTACGGTAATTAATATCAAACACATCTAACACGTATAGTATATATAGTTTCGTGTTCACAAAGTTTCTATGGTTTCGTCTTCAAAGAAGTGGGGAGAAACACTCCTCTACGTCTCGTGTACCTCCCTACTCTTCTTTCCTGCTTTAGCCACCTTCAAGTTAAGGTAGCTTGAAACAGCTTTCCGAGACACCTATACCGAATATATATAAAAAAAAAACCCTAAAAAAAGAGACTTTCCTTTTACGAAGCCAAACGAAATTTACTCGTGTTCACAAAATGATTAAAGTGCTTTACACCAGAATGAAGCACAGTCATGGCCTCTCTATTTGTTAATTAGTATAGCTATCGGATAATTACAGAGATGTGTAACTTACTTACAAACACTCTTTATAGCGAATGAGGTAAAAAAGTGGTGGTTTAGTGACGAAGGCAAAAAGTAGACACAAACGTACGCGCTCGTACACACGTACACACTTGGGTGCACCCAAACACAAAAGAGGTGAATGGGCTAAGAGACGCGTCCTACATTCTATTCACTAGTGAATGATAACTTCGTGTTTTGACTTATTTACCCTATGCAATAACCATGACGTGTAAACGACGATCTTCATATTCTACATTGTTAATTACTTTATGGCCTTAGATAGTTGATGAGAGCGCACCCGAACCAGCTACCTTGCAAAGAAACTGGGGGCAAATTACAAGTTACCTGGGTAGAACTGCGGGTCGTTCAAAGCTTGGCAACAAGACGGGATTGACTCTTATTCTATGTTGCTTACAACTGAACACTGTGCGGCATTCTTGAAGAACGCTAACACATTTTTACAAATAGTGCATACTTCTAAATAGGAAAATTTTATTAAAGAAAGCGCAGTTGCTCGAACAACTGTCTAAAAATTTGTGCAATTCATTTCCTCTGTTGTAGAGTACCTTATGGTGTTTCCGGAGCTGCGTTCTACAGAAAATTACGCCATGAAGAATCCAGCCATAACTTCAGATCTCAGCCAGTTGTCGTTGTGTTTTTTTATCAAACTTGTTCAAGACCAAGGGGATCAGATAGTCGTCAGCTATGCCAGTGAAGATAGCAATGACATGACTGTCGAAATTTATCCAACGCGAACAGATTTTTATGTTGACTTCAAGTTGTTCCGGTAATGCTGCATATATTTTTTCGAAGTCGGTTGGGGAATTTTTTATTCGAGTCATGATAAGTCATGTTACAGGAAATGCTACGATTGGCTTCTTCCTAATGCTTGGAGAGAGAGAGAAAATTGAACATACAAACAAACGAAAATCCTTGGCTTCTTTCTCTTTACTTATCATAGATAGTCGTCAGCTATGCCCGTAAAGATAGCAATGACATGATTTTCGAAATCCTTCCAACACCAACACGAGTTTATGTTGGCGACAATTTGTTCTGGTAATGCTGCGTATATTTTTTAGAAGTCAGTTGAAGAATTTCTTATTCGAGCCACAATAAGTTATTATACAGGAAATGCTACGATCGACTTCTTCCAAACGCTTGGAGAGAGAAATTTAAACATACAAACAAAGGAAAGCGTTAAGCTTCTTTCTCTTTTTTATGATGATTGAAAAACTAAATATGTTAATCTTTGACCGAAACAAATCTAGATGTATTTTCCTGTTGCAATGCAAATAACTATTCGGGTCCTTTTTTAAAATATGATTTAGATCACTCTGCTCAATAGGGCTCAACAGTCGTCTTTAAAGTGACGAGGACTCGCTTATTACGGTTCTGGCCATAAAAGGATGAGGTTTCTTAACCGACTCGGCTTTCAAAATAGAAGCTCAGATGATACGTTGATTTAAACATTTTATAAGTAGAGAAAGATGTTTTTCGTCTTGTCACAAGCGTAAGACAAAGAAAAAAATTCTGAGTTCCCATGAGGAATCGAACCTCAGACCTTCGGATTCCGCGTGCTGAGCCACAGAGATTCTACAGTGAGTGAGGTCTCTATTTTATAAGTAATTGCATGAATAAGAAATTGCCTGAATGAATGAAAACACTGAACAAATCGAAGCTTGAATGTATGAATGATTAAGTCATTGATAAACGATTGATTGACTGACTGACAAGCCACTTACATAATACTATAAACTGACTGACTACGGACTATCAGACTGAATAACTCTCTTGACTAACTTAGTGACAATGAAAAAGGAAGGTCTTGAATGACCAAATATATTTTATATTGTTTGCTTTTTGTCTTGTTTTTTGTTTTGTTTTGTTTTGTTTTGTTTTGTTTCGTTTATTGTTGTTGTTGTTTTTTTTTTTTCAGTTTTACCTCGACAAATCTCTACGATGATACCTGGCAACACCTGTGTCTCACCTGGGAAAACACTCAAGGATTAACGAAACTTTATAAAGATGGTCAATTTACAGAACAGGTAACGAATCATGCCACTAAGAATTACACACTTAAGGCTGGCGGCTTCCTGGTGCTTGGACAAGAGCAAGACTCTTTTGGCGGAGGTTTTGATCATAACCAAACCTTTCATGGCCGATTGGCAAGTGTCAACATGTGGGATAAAGTTCTGTCCGAAAGCGACATTGCCGCTCAGTACACAAATTGCAGCGTACCTCATGGTTCTGTTATTAACTGGTCTGTATTCAAAAATCTTACTCATGGCAATGTTGCAGTTGAAGAGCCGTGAACTACATTGGTCAGTGATCAAAACTCTTGCAGAGCCAAAAATCATAAATCGCGTGATGTAAATACCTAATATTAGTGAATATACCATATGCATGGCATAGTACTAAAATAGATACCATATAGTATATAGATAGTTAGCCAGTTATTTGGAAAATACTTCATTTATTCATTTATTCACCTATTTACTTAGTTTTTTGATAAATGTATTGAAATAAGAGGTAAATCTTAGGTGACCGGTGTCTGCCATAAAGTAAACGCAGCTCATGGTAATGTTGCAGTTGAAGAGCCCTAAACTGCATTGGTCAGTGATCAAAACTCCTGCAGAGCCTAAAATCATAACTCGCGTGATGTAAATTCCTAATATTAGTGAATGTACCATATGCATGGCTAATTACTATAATAGATACCAAAATATGAGAAGATATTTCGTTGAAACGCTGCTTTTGGCCAGTTATTTGGAAAACACGTCATTTTTTTACTCAACTATACACTCAGTTGTTTGATGAAACATTAAAATAAGATGTAAATTTTTAGGTGACCGGTGTTTGCCATAAAGTTAAGACAGTTACTTGTTTTATTGTAAGCAGCCTTAACAACATAAGACTTTTCTTCTCTTTTCTAATTCATTCTTGACACTTGAGAAGAAGTTTCGAGGGCCTTTCAAGATCTTTCAAGATCCCAAAGAAATTTCAAACATTAAGAGGCTGACAAGACGAGCGCTAATACTTTGAATGTGCGCCTATGAAAGTCTTCTAGAATGATAACCGCATATGCCCTGGTGCTTCGCATAGGGTGCGACATTGCCGCTCAGTACACAAATGCAGCGTACTTCATGGTTCTGTTCTTAACTGGTCTGCATTCAAAAATCTTACTCATGGCAATGTCACAGTTAAATAGCCGTGGACTGCATTGGTCAGTGTTCAAAACTCTTGCAGAGCCTAAAATCATAACTCGCCTAATGTAAATTCCTAATATTAGTGAATGTACTATATGCATGGCAGAGCACTAAAATAGATACAAAAATATCAAATGATTTTTAGTTCAAATGCTACTTTTGACCAGTTCTTTGAAAAAATTTCATTTAGTTATTCACCTATTTACTCAGTAAAATGCTTCCGGTAGTCTAGAAAATTCCAGAGTAAAATTTACAGAATCTGGAAATTCTGCTATTGACATCATAATTTTAGAACTAGGGAGTGTGCTATAAATGGAGGCAAGGGGGGGAGGAACAAAACAAGGTTTGATGTATCAAACTGTTAGAGCGAAAGTTTAACCGTTGGCTGGCCTACATTTTTAATTTTAGCTGTATGAAGACCCCGTCCCCTCTTCCCCCTCCCCCCCTACCCTATCTAGGACCTTGCATTACATCTCTTCTGCATTGTTTTACCTGAAAACTACATTTATCTAAGCCAATCAGAATAAAGATTTCTTTTATGTTTTCAATGCAAATCGTAAGGCTCAAGATGGAGCTTTTTCAATTGAGCGTCGTAAAACCGTGAAAACAAACCCGTTAAAGGAAAGTTTAAAAAGTGCCTAAAGAAATAACAAAAACCCACCCAGCGCTGTCTGCAAGCAAGCTAGCTAGACAAGTACAAAAAAAATTGAATAAACAGACGCTCCATTATTTCCTGAATCTTTCCGTGACAGCAGAATTGGAACGAGCTGATTTCAATAACTGAAACTGTTTTGTACCATTACCTATCTCCTGAATTTACAAACAAAAAGTAGAGCGCTCTAAAACCATAGCAACTAGGAAAAAGAAAGATAACGAAACCCAGGGGCGCTATAAAACATTTACAGAGGAAGACAAACAAGAGCAAAACAGGAAACCAAACCCCCGAAAAAGGAAAACAAAATAATAATCGATGACAAAAGATATCGTGTCATTAACTGTTCAAGCAGATGTTCATGTTGCGTGTCTGTGGCATTGCGAAATCGTTTATCACCATGAAAATCACTTGTCTTTGAGCTTCAAGAATAACATGGCTTTTTTCTATTTATCTGTCAATTTTCTTGTTTGCTTGTATCGGCAAGTTGTGCGCAGACTTCAAAAGTCATATTTCTTCCCTTGCAGGAAAAACCTGTCATGTTGGAGCACTTTTCGATTGTTCCCGTTATTTTCTGAAACTTTCCGTGACAGCAGAATTAAAACGAGCTCAACTGGAGCTCTACTGGTCCATTATTTTTCTCCTGAATTTACAATCAAAACCTAGAGCGCTAAAATAACAGGAACTAGAGAGAGAAATAGAGAAACCCAGGGGCGCTAGAAAACATTTCCAGGGGAAGACAAACAGGAGCAAATCAGGAGGCCAAACGCCTGAAAAAGAAAACAAATTAATACCTAATGACAAGACATCGTGTCATAACAGAAGCAGATGTTTGCAAAGCCCACGTAAAAAGCTTAATGTTGCGTGTCTGTGGCATTACGAAATCGTGTACCGCCATGAAAATCATTTCTCTTTGAGCTACAAGAATATGATGGCTTTTTTCTATTTATCTGCCAATTTTCTTGCTCTGGTTGTATCGGCGAGTTCTGTGAAGACTTCAAAAGGTGTTGTCTTTCTTCCTTTTTGCTTTCTGCCTGATATCTTCATCATCTTTATAAGAAAGTATAAGTCGAAACCATTTTAATTGGTCATATTCATTTCTCTATCAAAACACAGGACAAACGCCAACCGTTGGGTTTGTCTTCGCCAATTTCCTTGCCCACAAAGGCTACTATTTGAACACTACAACTGTTGGTACAGAACTGGTTCAAGACTCCTCTGAGTGCGCGTTCAAGTGTCTGGAGAAGGATCCATGTTTGTCCTTCAACCTGGCAGATTTGGATGATAACATTGACAATCTGCTATGTGAACTGCTTCCATCTGACCATTACACCCATTCAGACAAGTTCATCACCAACCATCTTTGGTATCACTACAGTATTGCGGTAAAATTAATTTTTCTTTTTCTACTTTATCTTATTATCACGTTTTATTATCATTATTATTATTTCATCCTGATAATAACTACAATCGGTTGGAATCGTTTGAGCAAATTTTATTCAACTGTTTAACATTAATATATCTCTCTATGGCTTTATCTTTACTTTTTTATTCCTTGCAAGCCATTTTATGTCGTTTTATTGACCCGTAATCGTAGTTTGTTTAACTGGTTTTTATCAAGGGAGTAAGTGATTGATTTTCTTGGTTTTAGTCTCCTTGCTCGAGGTTGCCCTGTCAAAACAATGGAACTTGTGTACCTCTGTACCGGACAAACAGCTACAAGTGTCGCTGTACGAAAGCATACACAGGAAGCCACTGCGAAAAAGGTAAATTTCTGTTTTCTAAAACAATAATTCCAAAAGTTTTTCGCCTGCATGCTTGTCGTATCTGATTCCTACCGAGCCATCAGTTGTCGTCACTTTACTTCACACCGACTTGTTTTTGCAAACATATATTTTCCCATTTTACTTAATTTTCTCTATTCTTTTTACGTCAGTTGATAATGACTGCAGCTGTTCATCAGGACCAGAAGGAAAACAGAGATGCAAAATAGGTCAGTTAGTACTCCACCTTGAATTAAGATAGCTTGAACAGTTTTCCAACACACCTATACCGGAAGCGCTAAAAAGCGACCCTCCCTTTACGAAGTCAAACGAAATTCACTCTTGTTCACAATACGTTTAAAAATTTGAAGTAATGGGCGTTTCAAGGCAACCACAATTGATATGCTAATACATGGGGAAATCTCGTTACGGCTGTTTAAAAAATCATGACTCCGTTGAATTAACTCTTCACAGTAAAAGCAAGCTCCACATCAAGTTTTACTAAATATATTACAATAATCTTACATCTGACAAATTCTCAATGGGTTCTGAGCTATTGTGTTAAATTTAAACCATTTCCTCGTATCGACAAGAAACCACAAACTAGCCAATTAAGGGTACTTTTTTATCATTACATCACCCGTTCACTAACTGACATTGTTTTGTTTTGTTTTGTTTCGGAAATGGCTCAATAACATTTGTCCTAATTTCGCTTTCTTGAAATACAGAACTGTGCATTACTTCAGAATCAAGAATGACTTTTTTTGACTTCGAGAGCCGAGAGGGAAAGCCAACTGTGTTTGTAGCACAATAAATCCACCATTGTAGTTTATGTTTTCTTCGTTTTGTCCGTCCTCTGCCGATTTTTGCGACTCTACCGCCGGCAGTTTCCAAAAATTGCGAACTCTGTTAGTCCGCTCGGGTAGCTAATTCGAACTCAGGATTCGCTTCATATTGTCCACAGGCGCTGCCAGCGATATAACGCATGATTTCATGTATTGTATTTTACCGTAGTTTTATCTCCTCCGTTACGCGCTCAGTGCGAATTAATTAACAGAAGTTTGTCATTATCCTACTATGGCAAAATAGAAATGATCTTGGAAGTGAAAATTCAATTTGACACCATGGTTTTAAAAAGTTTTATAATGGCTAATGTTTTATAATGACGTTTGGAGCGTTGGCCCTTGGTCAGAGCTAAGGGCTTAACTCTTAACAGTGGTCAGTTTATGTTATCAGCTCAGTTGATGATACCAACTTACTTAATCATGTGTTTCCTGTTAATTTACCATTTTGATTTGAACTTTATCAAAAACGGTATACAACTAAACTTACAATTTTCTGTGGTGGTTTAAAGCTTCTACTAAACAAATTGGTTCTGACAACTTGAAAGAACGATACCCAACCAATACTACAGTCGCACTTGCATAGACGTTTGCGCGCTCTGTTGACCGCGCCACTCTCTGGTAAAGTACAAGCAACAAAATCCTGTTTTTATTCCTCTAAGCTACGTCTGAGAGGATAAAAACTATTAAAATATGATTAGCTTGCCGTGTGGACGGTGCTTGGTAACAAATTTTCCGTATTTCGACAAAATTAAGTTTATAAAATCCGTTCAACCACCTTCTCATCAATGAAGATGGTGGACGGACACTCGAAAACATTAACGGCGGTGGCAGGTTGAAGGCAGAACTCAGAAAAAATAGTTAATTATGCAAACGTATCATCTTTTAGAAAAAAGTTCGGATATAACGCGCGCTGTCATTGGTAGAAAGAGCGTACTATATCAGAATACAAAACACGGAGCTGAGCTAAAACTCTCACACCATCTGCCAATTTTTACTATACCCGACCACTTTCCGGACTTCTCTCTAGCTTTTTTTCATTAATTGAAAGTGAAAATTCGTAACAAGTGAGCCGGTAAGTAGCAACAGATGAGCCAAAAAAAGGTTTGTAAACATGCCAAGCGCCATAACTGATGTTACTATAACGTGAGACGAAAATCTTCAAAGGGGAAACGAAATGAACCTTTTTCCGAGTTTTAGAGGTTTTCACGTAAACTTACATACGGTAATAAATATAAAACACGTCTAATACCCGTATAGTATACATAGTTTCGTGTTCACAAAGTTTTTACAGTTTCGTCTTCAAAGAAGTGGGGGGCACACTCCACTACGTCTCGTGTGTCAACCTATACTTCTATCGTGCTCTAGCCACTTTCTCCGCGCTTTACAACAGAACAGGACACCGCCAAGGCCTATCTATTTGTTCATTATTATGACTATCGGATAATTATAGAACTGAGTGACTTAATCACAGGCGCACTTTATAGCGAATGAGGTAAACGTCGTGGTGTAGTAACGAAGGCAAAAAGTAGCAACAAACGCGCGCGGCACGCACGGACACACCCAGACGCAAACACAAAAGAGGTCAATAGGCTAAGAGACTATTCACTAGTGGGTGACAACTTCGTGTTTTGCCGTCTTCACCCTATGCAATAACCACGACATCTATACGACGATCTTCATATTTTGCATCATTAATAATTACATTATGGCCTTAGATAGTTGATGAAGACGCAACCCGAACCCACTACCTTACAAAGAAAGCGAGGGCAAACTATCAGTTGTGGGTCGTACAATACTTGACAACGAGGCGGCATTGAGTCTTATTCTATGTTGCTGACAATCGAACACTGTCATACTATCGTCCCCGATAAATGTGCGGCATTTTTGAAGAACACTAGAAGACATACAAATACTGGATCCTTCTGAGGAAGGAAATTAATTGAAGAAAGCGCAGTTGCTCAAACAACTGTCTAAAATTTATGCAATTTATTTCCTCTGTTATAGAGTACCTCATGGTGTTTCCGGAGCCGCGTTCTACAGAAAATTACGCCATGAAGAATCCAGCCATAGCTTCAGATCTCAACCAGTTGTCGCTGTGTTTTTTCATCAAGCTTGTTCAAGACCAAGGGGCTCAGACAGTCGTCAGCTATATCAAAAAACATAACAATGAGATCCTTGTCGAAATTTATCCAACACGAACAGATGTTTATGTTGGCAGCAACTTGTTCCGGTAATGCTGCTTATATTTTTTTAAAGTCGGACGGGGTATTTCTTAATCGAGCCACGATAAATCATGATAGGGGAAGTGCTACGATCGGCTTCTTCCTCCTAGCGTTAATGTCTAACCCTTTGCGGAAAGGAAGAAAGTTAAATATACAAACACTCAAACGGAAAGCGTCGGGCTTCTTTCTCTTTTCTTATCGTGATTTTAATACTTGGTATGTTAATCTTTGACCAAAACAAATCTAGACGTATTTTCCTTACGCTTTGCAAATAACTATTCGGGTCTTTGTTTAAAATTTGATTTAGATCACATTTCTCAATAGGTCATTTAAATCTTTCGAGTAACGAGGACTCGCTTATTGTGGTTCTAACCATAAAAGGATGAGTTTTTTTAACCGACCCAGCTTTCCAAATAGTAGCTCAGATCATACTTTTGATATAGCAAAGATGAAATCAAGAGATTGGCCGAATGAATGCAATTAATGCAATGAATGAATTAAAGCAAAGAACGAATGGAAGCTTGAAGATTGACTGACTGACAGGTCACTGGTCAACTTGCTGACAGACTCACTGGTTGACAGATTGACCGACTGACAGGCCACTTACATATAACTTTAAACTGACTGACTACTGACTGACAGACTGAATGACCCTACTAACTGACCTAGTGACAATGAAAAAGGAGGGTCTTAAATGATCGAATATAATTAACATTCTTTGCTTTTGTTTTGTTCTGGTTTTTGTTCTTTTTTTTTTCTTCAGGTTTACCGCGACAAATCTCTATGATGATACCTGGCAACACCTGTGTCTCACCTGGGAAAACACTCAAGGAGTAACGAAGCTCTATAAAGATGGCCAATTTATCGGACAGGTAACGCATCATGACACTAGCAACTTCATACTTACGGCTGGCGGCTCCCTGGTGCTTGGACAAGACCAAGATTCTATTGGCGGAGGTTTTCATGTTGAACAAACTTTTCATGGCCGATTGGCAAGTGTCAACATGTGGGATAAAGTTCTGTCCGAAAGCGACATTGCCGCTCAGTACACAAATTGCAGCGTACCTCATGGTTCTGTTCTTAACTGGTCCGTATTCAAAAATGTTACTCATGGCAAGGTCACAGTTGAAGAGCCTTGACCTAAATTGTTTAGAGATCAAACACTCTAGACTTGATGTAAAATTCCTTATGTTAGAGTATATATTATAGGCATGACTGAATCACGTGGTGTAACTATGAAATAGATAACGAAAGTCAAAAGAGCATTATGGAATTAAGCAAATAAAACTTCAGGGACAGAGATGTATGTTCCTCATCCAGGCCTAGAATATGTGATCTCCGCTAAAATTATTTATAGATTGTCCTACGCACGAACAGGTCGGTATGGGGCTAACCTCAATAGTATGCATAGAGTTAGGAAAGTAACTGGTATCTGACTCGGAGCTCGAAGTACTGTTTGAATGTTTGACTTTCCAATTTTGAAGCCACTATTGTTTCCGGCGTAAGTGGAAAGTTCTAGGACAGTTTCAATTGAGGCAGTTTGAAATATTGAAAACATGAAAAAGGATAAACTGTGAAAGCTTTCTCTTTTCAAAAAACTCTTGCTGCACTGCTTATACTATTTAAAAGCATTTAAACATCTTTAAACGTTAACGACTTTCTTTCCGCTTTTTCAGTTTCTGGCATCTATTTCGTGTATAGTATAATGATAAAAATAAAAATAATAATAATAATAATAATAATAGGTATCAGAAACAGCTGCTGTTACAACGATTCAAAAGGTCTTCATGCTGGGATCTGCGCGAATCCTCAGAAGGGTGTTTAGTGTATGAACAGAATGATCGACTTAAGTGACTGATGCCCTAGCTGCATGGTTTGCGTCCGGCTGATGCACAAGAATGTAAATATATATAAATGTAAATAATAACCAATAATAATCATTATCGTAATCATAATCATAATAAAAATCGTAATAATGAGAACAAAAAGAATTTGATGATTGACATTCCAAGAGGTGGCTCTTCTTGTCCACTGTTTTCAAGTCGAATTGGAATGTGGAGTTTTGGTTTTTTGTGAAGGGAGAAAAGCCCTCGTAGCAAGGACGTGGACCAAAAATAAACTCAACCCACACGTGGCGCCAGCAGGTCCAGGAATCGACACCGGGCTGCAACGGTAGGAGGACTATGAATACTCTCACCACTGTGTCATCTCCACTCCCTAATTTGACTTTAGTGACATTAGTGATTGAGAGCCTCTTTGCTCCTCGCAGTCGTAAATAGAAAAAATGATGTAGGCTGATGTAGGCCAGGCCAAACGCACGTGACGTTTCAACGCCAGATCTTGCGAGCATTTACGTACTTGTAGATGTTTATGTGCCCCAGGTCCCTGGCCCGCTCAGAAGTGAACACCATGTTTAATATGACGGCCTTGAGTGGCAATGTTAAAGATATATCCACGTCTTCAAAATTTTGCTCTTGACTGAATTCCTGGGCGCTACTTTACGCTGATAATGAAAGAGAAGGGAAAAGAGGATAAAGGGATAAAACTCGACGATGAATAAAGAGAAGAAAAGAGAGGGACCACTATGCAAATTGCAGTCAAACCTGTATTAAGCGGCAACGCACGGGGAATGGTAGGGTTACTGCTTCGGAAAAATAGAAAGAAACTGGCACACAATGCGCAACTGAGTGTGTCGCTGATTTTCTTACCAAATTTTAATGTGCTTCATGATTAGTTATTAAACAGAGCCACGGCAACATAGAGTTCATTTGTTTTCTACAGTAAAGACGTAAAACATCATTAACGGTGATGTCATCGATACATCTGTCTCTTAATAAGTAATAATGTGTGTATAATTCAGCTGATCACATAAATCTCTATGTTTGCACATCCGTGCTTTCATAATATGACTTGTGCAATTGCATTTTGAGTCAAAGTCGCATTACACTTCAGACGCGCGTTCTATCTTCGTTTTTGCAAACTAATTCACAGCCCTCGTCTTTAGAAAATGCAATAATACTAAACCTAGTTTGGACCAAACCGCTCATTTATACCGCTTACAGATTTTCTTCACAAATTCTAGAAACAATCCTTGGGGCAGGTTGCCAGATATAAGTTCTACAATGTTCTTGTAACTTTCCTCTTCGTATTCCTTAAAGACCTGCTTCAAGTTGAGCCCATGCTATAATTTTTTCACCTTGGATGAATCTCTTTTACTTTTATCCTTCTGAAAAAAAGTAAACAAAATACATCAGAGTTATATTCCAGTTTCATCACGAGTGCTTGTCGTGTACAATGAAAATCTCTGGGAGAGAAGGTAATCTTTTGTTGTAATTGTAATAATGTATATGAAAAATTCACACTCTTATAATAAGCCGAAAACGAGTGAATTTTTCATGTAACACCAGTGCAAAGTTAAAACACGAGTACAAATTACAAATAGCGCGCGCGAGCCGTCAAAATTTCGTCTGTTTTGACTTTCTGTGATGTTTTTCTCAAGTAATTTATTAATGAGAAATAAAATCGCTTCTCGTGCAATTTCATGTAAATAAGCATTAGGATTAGGCTTTTTGTTCTGATTATAATAAATCATAGCTCATCCTACAAGTCATTACATAATCTGAAAATTAATAAAATTAGAATACCAGCCACCGCAGAGTAGCTGGTCGATATAGGTATTTAAAAGCAGGGTATATCATAGGTCCAAAAAATGAATGAATCGTAGTTTGGAAGTGGAAACCAAAGGAAGCGCACACATAGATTTCATAGAACACCAGTCCAAGTCTAAACACTGCTTTTAACACGTTTAGCCGTAAATTAAAGTAAATGCAAAGTAAGTGCTTGAATGGAGGATGGGGCTGGGGGGGTCAGGGGAGGGGCTGCTGAACAACAGCAGCTACTTAACTGCTGGTAAACTCAGTAAGTAAATAAATGAAGTTAACCACCTTAATAATCATGTAACTGTCTTCAATGCAACTCTACGGACAACCTCTTGTGGGTCAAGGAAACTGGGTTTCTAAAGACTTCAGGTAAAACAAGGACTTCAAAATTATGAATAAATAATTCCCCTTGAGCTTGACTATCACGCAATCTTCAATGCAAGGCCTCGGACAACCTGTTAAAAAGTGGTTGTTCTCGGAAAACCGGTAAAAATATATTTTAAAAGCTTTCACTTGAAACAGTAGCTTCAAAAAATAAATTAAAAAAATGGATCTTGTAGCTTAACTAACCAACACATCATCACGAAACTTTCTCAGTCAATGCATGGCTTCATAGGGTGCCATGAGCGACAAGAAAACCTTTTGTAATTTCCATATCAAAAACTATAGATAATAAAGAACCCGTTGAATTCCCCAAGCATTACTCTCAATTTTCAAAGCAAACTTTATTTCCAAAGCGAACAACAGTGTCGTCAGCATGCTCTATACTCTCATAAAGCACGCTACAATAAGCCAATTAGAATCCTAGTTAGAATGGTTCAAAAAATCTGGTTGGCTGTACAAGACTAAAGCTGTCAAAAATGTCAAACCGTCAAAGTTCAAAAACCATCAAAGTTCACATTCTGCGATAGTTTACAAACTAAAATAGTTCGGCAGGTCGAATTTAACACTTTTTCCTGAAGTTTTTTTAAGTCTCTAATACGGAATCTTAAAGTGAAATGTTCAGTGAACTTCAGCCGAATTATGGCTCATAAAAACACGCGAATTCATTCACATGATAAGGTAGAAGATAAACTGTTCAAGGCGAGTGTTTTATGAATAAAGACAGCCGAATTCACCGGAACATGAAGATCGCTCGGGATGACAGCGCCGCAAAACTAGGCTGCAGTGACTGATGTGGCTTTTCACTCAACGCATCGGAAAGGATATCAGAGCAAGCTCTTATTTTTTCACTCGAAGGGTGGCCGATGTAGTTTCTGACGCTTGCTTCACTGCGATGACCGGAGATCGCCATGATGAGCGAGCCGCGATGGACCTCAGCATGATCATATTCGCTCTGACACCGTCATGATTAGTATGAATTTTAGCAGTTATGCCAGTTTAGTTATATTTTTCATCATTCTTGTATTTTTTTGTTTTGTTTTTGAACACAAAACTTTATATACTATACGAGTGTTAGCTAACTGAGCGTGAAAACCTTTAAAACTCGGACTGTCTATTTTGTTTTCCCTTTGAGGATTTTCGTCTCTGCTCACGTTTTAAAACGGCTAGAAATAGCCCACCTTCAAGTTAGGGTAGCTTAAAGCAGGTTTCCGAGACACCTATACCGAATATAAATAAAAAGCCCCAAAAAAGCGAGCTTCCCTTTACGAAGTTAAAGGAAATTCACACTTGTTCACAAACTATTAAAATTTGAAGCACGGGCGTTTCAAGGCAACCACAATTGACGTACCTATATATGGGGAAATCCCGTTACTCGGGTTTTGGGTCGATGTCATAATATTTTTTATAGATTTTTTTCAACTTAAGGATTTTGTTTTTTGAGCGTTTCAAAATCATGACTACATTGAGTTTACTCTTTCTCCTTCAAGTGGATCAATCTACAATAAACGCAAGTTCCAAATCGAGTTTTACAGATTATATCACAATAATTTTGCATCTGACAAATTTTCAATGGGTTCTTAGCTATTGTGTTATATTTAAACTATTTCCTCGTATCGACAAGAAACCACAAACTAGCGACTTAAGTGTTCTTTTCTATCATTATATCTCTCGTTCACTAATTTACATTTATTTTTTGTTTTGTTTCGGAAATTACTCTATTTGTCGTAATTCTTAATTCTGCTTTCTTGAAATACAGTAATGTACATTGCATTAACTTTTTTGAACTTGAAGACATAGAGATATAGTACCTATTTGCCTACTTCGTTTCCCTGTTCGACTGGAAGGTAGATATCTGACAGCTTTTTATCTTTTCCTTTTGTTCTAAGCAAAAAGCCGTCGTCGGCTGAAAATGCAAATATATGACTGACGTTTTTCAATATGATGACTGAATATTGGCTTCGTTCTGTTTTGCCTTTTTTATGGACCTTGACATCATTTAGCAAATGATTTCGCTTTATTTTAAAAGAATCAAAAATGACTTTTTTACTTCCAGAGCCGAGAAAGAAAGCCAACTATGTTTGTAGCACAATAAACCCACGACGGTTGTTTCCGTTTTCTTTGGTTTTTCTGTGCACTGCTGATTCTTACGACTCCACCGCCTACATTGTCCAAAAATTGCTAACTCTGATAGCCCGCTTGGGTAGCCAATTCCAACTCAAGATTCGCTTCATGTCGTCCCCAGGCATTGCCAGTGATACAATGCATGATTTCGCATATTGTATTTTGCTCTTGTTTTATCTCCTTCGTTAAGCGCTCAATGCGAATTAAGTAAGAGAAGTTTATCATTTTCCCACTATGGCGAAATAGAAATTATTTCGGAAGTGAAAATTCCATTTGACGGTATGGTTTGAAAAAATTTTAAAATGCCTAAGAACACGTTGAAAATTCGTCAGATGAAACGTTATTGCGACAAATTCAATAAACTTGATATAGAGCTCGGTATTTGAATAATTTCGCGCAGAAGC